GCAATATTTCTCCTGTCCCTTGTATAGCCTCGCATTTTATCCAATAATTCTTGTTTTATCGATTCTTCAAGATTGTTGTACCTTTCTCTATTTCTCCGCAATAGATTGGCACTTAAACTGGATTCTGTTTAATCATTTGGTTGATATAGTGAGATATAAATAAATCATAAAAATGAAAAAAGCATCATTAGTAGGTACTATAAAATTCTAGTTATTGTTTCACCTGGATCCTGAACCATCTGAGCAGACGGCTCCATTGCGATATCCCCACATACTTGTTGCCTTGGTCTGATGTAGTTATCATTTCGACGCAACCATTCTGAAGCATCGCATGGGGTTTGATTTTCTTTGTCCTGAACCGAGATTGGACCAGTAAAAATTCCGGAATTTCCCGTCTGAAATGGTAATTTCTGCACTCCTTGAATTGACGTACATGGGGTCATATTAACGTCAATAGAATTCATGTTTAGGGCGGAAAAACATCCTTCATTAATTGGTTGTAGAACGGTGATGTCGTTGTCCCATAAGTTGGATATTTGCTGTCTTTGTTGAAGTAATAAGACAAGGTCGATAAGTAATATTAATAATAAAAAGATAGCAATCGGATGACGCAAAAGAGCATTCTTTAGCACCGGGCTGATCTGGTGCATTAGGAGGTGTGTTGTTTTTTGCATGCATTTCGCGAGCACAGTAGTCCACTGGTGCTCCCGCCTACCTCTTATTTCTCTCCTCCTTTGCTCGCTTGTTTCTTGAGTCCTAATCCTAGCCTTGAGTACTCACGTTGTTTTCTATTCCTTTCCTCTCTCTGCGTTGTTCTTATTTGCCAAAAGCTGTTGACATGGCCTTGTTTATTTATATACTTTTATAGATGATGGCTTATATAAAAAATATGAGTGTATGAAAATACCGGAGTAGGTATGTTCGTTACATCATTTGGCCTTGATCATGGCCTTCTCTGGCGCCCCCATTTTGTCGCGTCAAGGGCTAGTAATAATAATATAATAGACATGTCCATTAGAACCATGATATATCTTGCCGCCAGTGGTTATTTGAATACTGACATCTGAACCGCCTAAATGCTAATATGAACCTCTAAATGCTAATCTGAACCTCTAAATTTGAAGATGAAAAATTTTCCTACCGTACTTGCTACATCTCTGAACATCTGAATCGCCTCGCCAAGTGACCGATAGTACTTTGAAAAAAAATCTGCATTTTGTAGTTTCATATATACTATGATCAAAAGTAAAGATAAAAAAATTCATGTACCCTATACACATCTATACGTATATATACGTAGTTAGGTGTATGCATGTGTTGAGATGCGATCTCGAGAACAAAGACAGAGAGTGGGCATGGAACATATATACTGGCGGCATGGATCCATCTCGGCGGCAACATGTTTGACGATCGAAGTATCTGAGCGATACTGATCTCCTCGCTCGCGACCACCTCGCCGACCACGCGTCCTCCTCGCTCAGCGATCGATGAGCGGGCATGAGGAGGCGACAATCGCGGCGAGAGCGAGGCGTATCTTGACGGCGCCGGTGCACCTCGATCCTCGCTCGCGACAACCTCGGCTGACGCACATGCGATCACCACCTACCGCCTCCTCCGCCGACCCATGGCGGGAGTAGTAGCGCCTCCTCGCCTCCGTGTGTGTCCGGAAGTTTCCGTGATTTTTTTTGGCGGCGTGGCGTTAGTAATACTCGGTTTGAAATGCATGACGTGGGTGTGGGGAGAATGAGGAGATTTGATACACTCAATCCAGGCCCTCGATTGTGTAATGAGTAAGGAGAGAGAAGGCTTATAGTGTATTTGGATGGTTCGTTTGAAATGTGTTGTTTTCCTGGGTACACTTTTTGGGGTGGACTTAGAGGGGACATCTCAGCGGGGGATCATTTTCTTGTGTGGACGTAGGAAAGAAAAGATGGTGCATTAGTAGGGTAGATTACGTTAATTAATTTAAAATAAAAACAAATGTCAAGATAATATTTTTTAATAAATAAATTGTATATCACTTATCTTTTATCATTAATTTACTTTTATATAAATTAATGTGTTTTAAATTATACCCGATACTAGTATCATTATTAACATCTTAATATAAATTAATGCTCTAGAAAAACAGATTTTATTTTCGTTTCTCAGGAGTCAGACTTGCTAGCTACTGTTGCATCCACGGAGCCTAGCCTAAACCAATATTAAACGTTGTGCTGCTACTTTCAAAGAGCCTTACCAACGATTATACAGGCAACCAAATAGGTTAATAGTCTGCATGAGATGTTTCAAGATATATATATATTGTTATTATTCGGTAAACCGGACTGCTCCGTAAAATGACCATTTTTCATGGTGTGATTCCACATTTGGGGTATGTTTTGGACTAGTCTTTCCACTCTACACCATAAACTCCACTATGGAGCAGCTCCATGAAAACCTGGAGTTTTTACCGCGCCTCTCAACTTCATCTTTTTTTTCCTAGACGAGAGTTTGTGGAGCTCCACCTGTTTGACTAGAAAATGTGGAGTGAGACGGTCTCAAACATGCCCTTAGTAAAATTTCATGATACATTGTGTGGAGACACACTTAAACCTCTTTAGAAAGCAGTTTTTTTCTTCTGTTTCTACATTTTTCTTGTGAAAAATAAATTGATTCATGTAAATTCTTATACAATTCTTGTAAAATTATTGGGTCGTAAAGGGCCCATAGTGAAATTCTACGACTGTGATTATTTACATGAGCCACGATGTTGTATTTTCGATACATTTTACTGGACGACGTGGAGAACATGTTTTGTTTCATTATTACAGCCCAAAAGGCCCAACTGACGAGCATAAACAACTTTTTCCTTTCAATCTCTTTTTCAGAAAACGCAGCTACTCCTTCGTGTCCGTCACCGACGGGCAACGGCTGAACCCTAGTCTCCGACGACGTGGCGCGGGTCTCGCCGTCCAATTTTTTCTCCTTCTCTGTCTCATGTCGGTACTACATTGTTGATTTGGTATCCATTCACGTCGATCTCTTTCACATTTTCATTCCATTTCGGCATTTCACCAGTGCCGTACCGAGTGGAGGCGGGGCCGCGGGGGGCAGCGCGGAGGCGCTGGCGCTGGGCTGCTGGGAAGCAGAGCGCGCATCGCGTTCCCAAACGTGTGTCCAGTTCGGGAGTCGATGTTCTGGCTCGTTTGGTGGTTCGTTGGGGGAGGCGTTTCAGTCGCGTCACCTCGTTTGTGGCTTCTTTTGATGGTTTACGGATTGCAGGATGCCCCCGTGTGCAAGGCGGCGCGGAAGGGTCGGAGGAAGATCAGAACCTAGCTGTTACTGGGGGCGATGGATGATTGGGTTGTTGGGTCGTTGTCTTGTGACTCTTGTCTGATGCTGATCGAGTCAGTTTGACTTCAGTGTATATGCACTTTTTCTGAAACCAGTCTGAAACTTGTGCTTTTGAGCTATAGTATTAGTATGCATTGTATTTTGAATAGGCTCTGTCAATGGGCGTTTCTGAGTGGTAGTATATTTTATGTTTTGAACAATACCATCGTATTAGTATCTTGTCGAGGGTTTGTACTTCAAGCAAGGTCCACGAAACTTTAGTGTTTACTATGTGGTGGTATAATGGGTTAAAGCTTCATGTTTTAAGTTGCAGGTGCGTTATTGTCTGATGAGTGTTTTCAATGTTGTACTGGGAAGGCAAGCTCGTCACGTCTGCAGTATCAGATCCCAAATGAATGGACATGAAGACAACAATGGTAAACCTGCTGTTTTATCCATATGTAGCAATAAACGAGTAATCGTTTCATGTAGCTGAACACTGAAAATATAGTTTTTGGGATTGATGTTGACTTGGACACTTATGATCTTTGTCATCCCATATGTTCACATTGGTTGCCATTTTTATCTCATCAGCAATAGTGTAGATTTGATAACTTTTTGAAGTGGAAAAGGATGATTCAGTCCTTATGAAGGGATGTGCCTTTCATTTTGAAGTAATTCTGCACATCAGTCATTTGTTTTGCTAATTATAGTAATAACATTTTACTAAATGTGACGAATATTCTTCATAGGTACCTGCACAACACTAGTGAACAAACTGTCTGTTTGTGACTGGTGTATCCCTCGGCTACAAAGAATGGCTTCACTGTTCATGTGGCTAGTTCATACGAGGCATAGTTAGCTGTCAGGTTTACGCATGGTTTATGGAGTCAATTAACCCCCATAGTGTTTCTTCTGTCCCAAAGACTAGAGTTGCATAAAGCATTGAAACTTTTTAATCCTCAACATTATTTTAAGATGCTATCAAATTTCTTAGAAGGGATATAGAAAGAAAATTGCCACAAAGTCAACGTATGGCATAGCTTGCAAACGGCGTATCACTTACACGTTACCAGTGTCTTGAAGAATAGTTTGTGGATTTTTCATTTTTTCTAAGTGGGTCGAATAGCAGATACCACATACCAGTGGATATCAAGAAGTTTATTGTGATATCTTGGACCAATATTTCTGAGACTAAAGTTTCTGCTATGCATATACAATATATTAAAATAAGGCATTATCATATTCGACAACATCCTTTTTTCTGTTGGTGTATTATGTGATATTGTGTGTATTAATATATGCGGCACAAAAGATTGTTCTCAATTATTGACTACTGCATTATAATATTGTTAACCCTGTTTATATTTCTCAAATGTGATTGAGAAAGTAAATGCATAATCTTTGTGCGATACGGCTAGATATCATTTCATGCATGCAGCACACAGTTTTTCCATTAATCAAGTAGTCCTATATGTTCCCTTTAAAGCTTGACTCTCTTTGACTTAAGAAAATCCCAAAGCTTCCTCTCTTTACCAAGAGTGGGAAGATTAGATCCTTGCTTACGGAAAACCGCTAGATGGTTGTGTTGTTCTGATCCTGAATTGTTTTTGAGGTCAAGCAACCTGAATCGAAGGTAAGGGAAATGACATTTTTTTTTGGTTTGCCTGGCTTATTTCTTGCCCATGCAAATCTCAACTTTCAACTTCAGTTGGATTCGATATGCACTTATGTTTATACTTTACAGTAGGGGACACAAATTCGTGGAAGTTATGGATCTGAAGGCTATCCAAGAGTGGACATCATGCGAAGCAGCAGAGTTCAAGGCACTTTTTGCTGAGTTAAGGAATGAAAAATCATGTGACAGGATGGAAGTGCTTGAAAAGAGGTTCCCTTCAAAGACTATTCACCAGTTGAGAGATAAATATGCTGAAGTCTTTGCAGATATGCTCTATGGTGAGATAGATGATGAACCCATCAGAGATGACACAACTAGTGATTTGCGTGATTGGTACAAACTTTTAGAAGGAGACACCCATGACTCAGTTCTGGGACCATCAGTGGAAACATCTGTGTTCCAACCTTCCAAACAATTGGTATTAAAAGCAACTAGAGATCAGGAGGAAATTCAAAAGCCACACTGTGAATCATCACGGAAGGAGAGACAAACTTGGACTGCTGAGGAACACAGGTCCTTTCATCCCCCCCTCCCTCTCTTCAATTTAGTTTTATTAACTTCTTGTTCCTTTATATTTTACTTCACAGCTTATATGGTTATGTATGCCTCTGTTCATTGCATGTTAAATGAATAAAGAGATGCATAGGTAAAGAATTATTTCTGGGCAATCTGTAGATTTCCACTACATATGGCATTTCTGTTCCACTAAATGCACCATAGTGGGTTGAGGTTGACTGAAAGCTGTTCATTGTGAAATTATGATACATATATAAGGCCATAAGGGTAACCAAAACTCTAATGCTCTTATCTTCAGGCACACCACTAATATTCAGTATACTACATACAATATAGTATCTTGAAACTTTGATTTCTGTCTTTTTATTAGGAAGATATGTCAGAACTATGCTTCAATATAGATCAAGCAATATTTGATGGTTTGCTGTATATAACTATTAAAGAAGCTATGCCACTGTCCCACAAAATGTTTTAGCCAAAAATTGTCAAGCCAAAGGAAGTACTTTTGCTTAAATTTCATTGACAAGCACCTATAAATGACTTGCTCTTTATTTTGGAAACTCGAATTGTTTGCCCATTAACAGTTCTCCCTCTGTTCCAAATTGTAAGTTGTTTTAGCTGTCTTAAGTCAAACTTCTCTAGCTTTGACATAGTTTATAGAAAAATGCACAAACATCGCACATCAAATTAGATTCATTAGATACACCATGAGGTATATATTTTGATAGTGCATTTATTTGATATTGTACAACAACAACAACAAACAACAACAACAACAAAGCCTTTAAGTCCCAAACAAGTTGGGGTAGGCTAGAGTTGAAACCCAGCAGAAGCAATCAAGGTTCAGGCACGTGAATAGCTGTTTTCCAAGCACTCCTATCTAAGGCTAAGTCTTTGGGTATATTCCACCCTTTCAAGTCTCCTTTTATTGCCTCTACCGTATATTTTTCTATAAACTTGGTCAAAGTTAGATAAATTTGACATATGACAAAGCTAAAATGACTTACAATTTGAAACAAAGGTAGTAGGATGTCTACAGCTATCAATTATCATACAAGGATGTCATATTAGGTCATTAAGACCATGGGTATTTTAGGAAAAGACTAAAAAACATCATTTATGCTGACCCTCATTACTAAAATGGTCTGTGAAAGGCATACTTGCAAAATGACATGGCACTTTTTCTTTCCTATTTTACCAAACCTGTTTTCACTTTCTTTTGCTGGAAAATGTTTTGTTTCATACCACAGTGATCCTTTGTAGTGAAAATGCCCCTCTTTTCTTGTTATATATTCACATATTGTCAAATGTCAATGAGCATCCACACCAGCATTTTCAAATAGAAATATGTATTGTGGATATTGTAAATCGAATTCCGTATGAGACTCAGACGCAGTCACTTGTGTTTATAGTCTATTGAATTATAATTTGTAGTTGCCACTTCACGTTGTCTGACTAAAAAATTAGTCATCACTTCATTGCCTAGTAGAATGCAGCTTATCAATCTACCTGCAAATGCAGGCAATTTCTACATGGTGTACAACATTTTGGGCGAGGTGAATGGAAATCCATTTCCAAGTTTTTTGTTCCCTCCAGGACCCCAACTCAGTTGGCAAGCCATGCTCAGAAGCATTTCGACAGAATAAAGAATAATGAACTGGAGGCAGAGGCATACCATCAATGATGTCAGGCTTGTCAATCGAGATATGAATAATACTTCCCACTCCCATACTGAACCAGGGAAAGGAAAACCAAATGCATCAAGCATCCCACTGCCAGTCCTAACAGAGGACATGGATATTCTGCATGATCTAACACAAGGAATGCCTCATTTTGGGCAAGCGAGTAACAATCCAAGTAACTTAGCAGGACAGACAACACATTGCAATCATACAATCGAGAGCTTCTTCCAGTGGCAAGGCCCAGGCACCGCGTCACCAAGAGAGCAGTGGAATGTCCTGCTTGCTCAAAGCAGGACTGAACAGTGGACCTGGCCTCGCCGCAAGAGACGTCTTGCTGCAACCACCAAATGTAGGCGCAAGAATAACAGAAGAACACTCCCCGATGCCCTCACTGCCCAAATCCCACAAGAAGTTCTGCAATTTGCACAAGGAAGTGACAGCGGAGCAAAGTTATCATGTGAGATGGTGCCCATCAAAGGGCGCGATCTACGCACAACCATACCGCCATTCTGAAGTTCGGTGGAAGCCCTGTTGCCTGGTAGAGCATGCTTTGAGTATGCTCTTCCAGGTGGGTTGGCTAGCAGTGTCAGGCTGAACTTTGATTGCCTGCCTTCATAATAAGGAAGTCGTTTGTGGTTTCATCAGCACCTGGCCCATGGTGTAATATATGGGAAACCAGCTAATGTTTGCTTTTATATGGTACAATTATGTTATAACTATCCACCGTTGCTTTTGTTTGAGATGTCTATTTGACTGTTGGGTCGTTGAAAATCTTTTTTAACCGTTGGGCTGTTGATCTTTTTGTTTTTGTTATACTTGCTAAGCTGTGCCTCTTGTGTTCTCGGGTGGTTCTGCACTTACAAACCCAAAGGTCGCGGCCAAATGCATGCCTGCCGGATTGCCAGCTCTGAGACCCTAACTTATAGACTATGCTGTTGCTAGCTGAGAACTTGTTGCGTCCAAGTGTGCTAATGCCAATCATGCCTTGTTACGATTGCTTATTTGCTTCAGTCATTGAAGTGCTTTTTTATCATTCTTGATTTCTCTTTTCTACCTCTGGTTAGAATGTTAGATCCCATTTGGACGAAACATTTTTTCCACAGGATCTGAGAAAAATCCTTACATCCAAACATGACCTTTGTTTTTTTAATTGAACAGAATGGTCTGATGAAACAAAGAACCTTTTTCTTTCCGAAACATGAAAGGTTGAAAGCAAAGAACCCGGTACTAGTACTTTGTCAAGTGGTGGAAGGAACCTGTGGGCTTGGCATCTTCTCCTTTTTGCCGCCTCTCGAGAGGAGAAAGCTGTGGGCCTGTGGCATCTACAAAGCCGGCCTATTCTTTCAGCAGTGCAGGCGTGCAGCCCACCCCGACCCAGCTATAGCTGTCCCGGTGTCCCCGCTGGACGGCCCAGGGAACCTTCCTCTAATCCTCTTACGTTCGTGGTGCGCTCGCTGACATGCGGACCATTCAGCTAGGGTTTAAGGTCCTCCTTCCGATTTGACAAGTCAGCTGTTCAACGCCAGGAAAACGAAGAGAGACAAGGGAGGAAGGCACGCGCCCCCGCTACGTGGTCCATTTCCAGTCCAGTGAGTCTCCAACAAGGCCGGAGCGCAGGCGAGCACGCTGATCGATTCCGATCCACACACGCACGCCCGCCGCGAATGGGCGATGCGGAAACCGCCTCGAGGGCGGGGAGGAGGGGGGCGGCGGCCGCCGCGGGGATGAGGGTGTTCTCGCCGGAGTACTACGCGCTGTGCGCCGGCGGCGGGATGCTCGCGGCGGGCGCCACCCACCTCGCCATCACCCCGCTCGACGTGCTCAAGGTCAACATGCAGGTGAGTGGATTCTTCTTGGTTAGTGGAGTTCTCAAGTTGCAGTCCTGCGGCGCTGCCGTGCGGCACCTGGTGGTCCGGGGAGAGCATAATCTGAGGCCGTTAGAATCATGGCGTCATGGGTTTGTTGTAACTTTGTACCGCAGTTGTGGTTTCCTAATGCTATGCGAATTTGGATTTTTCTAGTATTTCTGTTTAGCAGTGAGCGTGATATGTTAGCAGTGCACTGAAACTTACCGCCGAAATGCTTCCGTCGAGAATCATTTCAGTACAAGAACTTTGTGAAAGATGTTGAAATAGAAGTAACATGCTTGGCTTTCGAAATGAACAGAGGATGGAATTGAAGGATAATTGTAGATTTCAAATAATGAAACCACTTACAGTTGCAAGCCTTTTGATTATCTACTGTAACACCTAAGAACTGATTCGGAAAAAAAAGGTGGTTTATAATTACTTTTCCTTCCTTTGTTTGCCAGGTGAATCCCATGAAGTATAACAGTATATTTTCAGGACTAAATGTTCTTGTGAAAGAAGAGGGACCTTCGTCACTTTGGAGAGGCTGGGGAGGGAAATTTTTTGGCTATGGTGTTCAGGGTGGCTGCAGGTTTGGCCTCTATGAGTATTTCAAGAAGAGGTACTCTGACGTGCTTGTAGACAGTAACAAGAGCACCATATACTTCCTTAGCAGCGCCTCTGCTCAAATCATTGCTGATGTTGGCCTGTGTCCATTTGAATCGGTGAAAGTCCGTGTTCAAACTCAGCCCATGTTTGCAAAAGGTTTGGTTGATGGCTTTCCAAGGGTGTATGCAACTGAAGGCCTGTCTGGGTAAGCTATCATGTATAAGATACTCCCAATTTGATGCATTCTGCATGTGCTTGAAGATACAAGCCTTCATCTACCGTCCTGAGAAAAGTACATGTCTTGTTCTATTGCAGTTTTTACAGGGGGCTTTTACCTCTTTGGGGACGGAACCTTCCATGTAATTGAACTTCTCACTATTCTGTAGTTATTCCATTTCACAAAATGCTGCTTGATCATATAAAGTAATGTATATGATAGTTATATGACTTGATGTTGCATTAGATCTGATTAGTATTGAATCTTAGCATTTATTTCTTTCCAAAGTTGTTCCATATATGTGTGTAAGAATGAATATGAGGTTCTTTGCCTTCACTGATTCTTCAGACTGAATTACATTTCTTACCCTGGTTATTAAGTCTGAGAACCAATCGCTTCTGCATCAGTATCTCTACTGTCAAAATTCTGTGTTTTGAAGATAATGGTATTTCTGCTCAGTGAACTAGAAAGTCTTAGAATCAGCATCAGCGATCTGTCCCTGCTTCTAACATCTTGAAAAGTCCCATTTGTGCAATGTTTGAATATTTTCCCCGTTTCTCTACTGTGTCAGTTCATTAATGCATCTTACACTTTCGAGATAGCATTCTTATCTTTTGGATGTCTTTTATCTTTTTATTTTTAGGGAATGATATCTTTTATTTACCGTGTTTTCTTCTTCTTGTAGTTTCTATGCTTATGTTTTCGTCTTTTGAGCATACCGTGGACTTCCTGTATCAGAAAGTTATTCAAAAGAAAAAGGAGGACTGCTCAACAATCCAGCAGCTTGGTGCTACTTGTCTGGCTGGTTATATCTCTGGTGCCGTTGGTACTGTTGTTTCAAATCCTGCAGATAATATCGTCTCATCCCTGTACAACAAAAAAGCTGAAAATATCATACATGTAAGTATATAAATATAAATTTCCAGCCTAAGAAATCATTGTTGTCAAACTCCAGCGTATATCATTTTTCTAATGATCTCATCGTATGCTTTCAGGCTGTGAAAAGTATTGGATTTCGCAATCTGTTCACAAGAAGCCTGCCCATTCGGATCACCCTTGTTGGACCCGTCATAACCATGCAATGGTTCTTCTACGATACTATCAAGATATTGACTGGATTGTAAGTCTACTGTTTCCATGTTAGCTCAAGTGTATTCCTGTTTTATGAAATAAATAAGTATGGTTTGAAAATCATACAAGTGGATTTTAGTTTTACAATGCCGAACTGTTTCATGGATCAAGCTTGATGTCACACTATACAACAACAACAACAACAACATAGCCTTTCAGTCCCAAGCAAGTTGGGGTAGGCTAGAGTTGAAACCCACCAAGAGCCCCAAGTCACGGTTCAGGCACTTCAATAGCTGTTTTTCAAGTACTCATATTCAAACATAGATCTCTAGGTATATCCCAAGCTTTCAAATATCTTTTTATTGCCTCCCCCATATCAATTTCGGTCTTCCTCTACCTCTCCTCATATTATTAGCTTGGCTTAGGACTCCACAATGCACTGGTGCCTCTGGAGGTCTCCTTTGGACATGGCTAAACCACCTCAACTGATGTTGGACAAGCTTTTTTTCAATTGGTGCTACCTCTAAGCGATCACGTATATCATCGTTCCAAACTCGGTCCATTCTTGTGTGACCGCAAATCCATCGCAACATACGCATTTCTGCAACACTCAGTTGTTGAGCATGTTGAATCTTTGTAGGCCAACATTTTGCTTCATACAACATAGCCGGTCTAATCGCCGTTCTATAGAATTTGCTTTTTAGCTTTTGTGGTAGCCTCTTGTCACAGAGAATGCCAGAAGCTTGTCGCCACTTGATCCACCCTGCTTTAATTCTATAGCTAACGTCCGCATCAATATCTCCATCCCTATGTAGCATCGATCCCAGATACCGAAAGGTATCCTTCTTCGGCACTACTTGACCTTCCAAACTCACATCTCCCTCCTCCTGTACAACTCCGCCATAGTCGCATCTCATGTATTCGGTTTTAGTTCTGCTCAATCTAAAACCTTTAGACTCAAGGGTCTGCCGCCATAACTCTAGTTTTATATTTACTCCCGTCTGGCTTTCGTCTACTAACACTACATCATCAGCGAACAACATACACCAAGGGATATCCCCTTGTATGTTCCTGGTAACCTCATCCATTACCAAGGCAAAGAGATACGGGCTTAAGGCTGACCCTTAATAAAGTCCAATTTTAATCGGGAAGTAATATGTGTTACCATCGTTTGTTCAAACACTAGTCACAACATTGTTGTACATGTCCTTGATGAGGGTCACGTACTTTGATGGGACTTTATGTTTGTCCAAAGACCACCACATAACATTTGTGGGTATCTTGTCATAAGCCTTTTCCAAGTCAATGAAAACCAAGTGGAGGTCCTTCTTCTGCTCTCTAAACCGCTCCATAAACCTGTCTTATTAAAAAGATTGCTTCTGTGGTTGACCTTCCAGGCATGAAACCAAATTGGTTTGTTGATATCTACGTCGTTCCTCACAGGCGCTGCTCGATGACTCTCTCCCATAACTTCATAGTGTGGTTCATCAACTTAATTCCCCGATAATTAGTACAACTTTGGATATCTCCTTTGTTCTTATAGATTGGTACCAATATGCTTCTTCTCCACTCCTTAGGTATCTTGTTCGATCGAAAGATATTGTTGAACATCTTGGTTAGCCATACTATAGCTATATCCCCGAAACATCTCCACACCTTGATTGGGATATCATAAGGGCCCATCACTTTGCCCACTTTCATCCTTTTCAAGGCTTCTGTGACGTTCGATTCTTGAATCCTCCGCACAAAACGCCTGTTAGTGTCATCAAACGAGTCGTCCAGGTGAACGGTGGTGTTCTCGTTCTCACCATGGAACAATTTATCAAAATACTCTTGTCATCTATGTCTGATCTCATCCTCCTTCACCAAGAGCTGCTCCCTCTCATCCTTTATGCACTTGACTTGGTTGAAGTCCCTTGTCTTTCTATCGCGAGCCTTAGCCATCCTATAAATGTCCTTCTCTCCTTCCTTCGTGCTCAAACGTCGGTAAATGTCCTCATAGGCCCGCCCCTTTGCCTCACTCACCGCTCGTTTTGCAGTCTTCTTTGCCATCTTGTACTTCTCTATGTTGTTTGCACACCTGTCATGATACAAGCGTTTATAGCACTCCTTTTCCTTAATAGCCTTTTGCACATCTTCATTCCACCACCAAGTGTCTTTCGAGTCGCATCCGCTCCCTTTGGTCACTCCAAGCACCTCTGAAGCAACCTTCCGAACGCATGTTGCCATCTTCTCTCACATGTTGTTTGCATCGCCTTCATCATTCTAAGGGCCCTCTTCAATGACCTTTTCCTTAAAGACCTTTGATGCCTCCCTTTCTAATTTTCACCACTTCGTTCTAGCAACCCTAGCTTGTTTGTTTCCACGAGCTTGCACCAGAAAGCGAAAGTCAGCTACCACCAGCTTGTGTTGAGCGACCACACATTCTCCAGGTATCACCTTACAGTCCACGCATGTTCGTTTATCCCTCCTTTATGTAAGGACAAAGTCGATTTGACTAGAGTACTGGCCGCTACTAAAGGTCACTAAATGGGACTGTCTCGTTACGGAAGATAGTGTTAGCTATCATCAGATCAAAAGCTATGGCGAAGTCTAAGACTTCCTCTCCCTCCTGGTTCCTACTACCATATCCGAAACCCCCATGAACCGCCTTGAAACCTGCACTTGATGTACCTACATGGCCATCCTCTCCCTCCTGGTTCCTACTACTTGATGTCACACTATATGATTATAAAATGACCTGCTTATCCCGTCAAGGAAAGAAATGGTGTATGCCAGTGCAGGTATGTAGGAATAAATTGAAAATGTGTTGAAATATGAACAAGTTCTATTGAATTGGTAAAAGATGAAAAATTGTTGAAATTAAGAACATGAGTACCATATAATTGCATTAAATTAATAAAAACATGGAAAGGTGGTTAAATGAAGAGCATGAACATCATATAATTACTAACTGTTAGCTGGTGTTTGGTTTCTCTACGTGAGCACCGTACATTCAGGTACACCAATAGTGCACAACTACCAGTTAGACAGAAAACATGTGCTCTTCCTTGTCAGTATTAACAAGGCTAACACATAGATATCTATCTGAATATGGCAATATCCATTTCTGTTATTGTTGGCATGCTGAATTTGCTTGGATTCCTGATACATTTCTGTAATAAGTTTATTAAGACTGTAAATCTGCTCATTTCAGGCCACCGAGTGGAGGGCTTCCGCGGGAACTGGAAGACATATAATCTGACCAGTTTGAGATAGGCTTCTCGATGCACTTTTTGGCATCATAGGGACAGAGTATTTGTCTATGGTTCTGACTTGCTAGGGGAAGAGTATGATTGGTAGTTTCAGGGGAGAGCCAACTGACCCAAACACATCATGTGTAAGATTTCTGCGTATGAAAGATTTCCTCGTGTTGTATGTTTTTCCACGTCTTAAACAACCTTGAGGTTCAGCACCCCTCTAGGTACAGCATTGTGGCCAGGTGGTGCTTTAGTAAGTGCATCCCTTGTACTCTTTATTTTGTAGGATTTGATGTATGAGAAGAATGCACTTCTGATGTATACACGCAACCTTGACTGTAAATAATCCCTTTGAAGGACCGAAATTTGAAGTGGAATTCTGTGTTATGCTAGTGCTCTTAATTTTTATTTTCCTGTCACATGGTTGATATTTCCTAAAGGTATTCATCTTTACCTTGTAACTACCTCCAAGCCATCTTTATATGACGTTCTGGACAGCAGAATAGATCTGCAAACAAGCCCTGAACGTCATTTAAAGTTGACTGGAGGGAGTATGTTCAGATTCAGCGGCAATGCCAGCTGTCTCATTGCATAAACTTTCTTTGCTACCTTTGCATTGTTTTGGGCCAAACCTTCTCTCATTTATTGCAACAGTAGTATTCATGGTTTATTGCAAGAATTCTTACAACTTTATCAAGCAAAATAGAAACAAAGTGCACAAGGATATATGTACCTCATGCCTTAGCCACTAGACAGTCCTTATCAGTCCCAGTGCAGGAATGAAATAATTTACAATCACGAGCTGTAGGAACAAGATTTCTGGAGCTATTTCTAATGGATCTTCACGTCCGGGTTGCGCATCGGCCTGAGCCACATGTCAGCCATAACCCTCGACGACATGCTCCACAGTACTTCATTCCCGGCCTTCCCCGCCACCGCGGCCCGGTTCTTCCTGCCGGCCTTGCCTAGCCCGTAGGCGACGAGCCAGTGCATCGCCGTGAGCCGCTGCTTCTCGCCGTCCCACATGTTGCGCCGGTCCGGCGACTTCAGCCGCAGGCCTCCGAGGTGCAGGTTTGCCACCTTGAACCTCGGCTCGTCGTCGCTGCTGCCGCCGGCCCGCACGGCCTGGATGATCACGACTGACGGTGCGCCCACGGCCTCGTACCGGCGCAGGGGGTCCCTCATCTGGACCACCACGAGCAAAGTGACGGCGTCCACGCCGGCGCCGGCGCTCGCCCACTCCTCCGGTGGCACGGCGGTGTCCAGAAGGTGCCCGGCCTGTGCCGTCTCTGGCGATACCTCAAACGGCGCCTGCTCGTCGGTCATGCCGGCCTGGACCTTGAACGCTTCTATGGCCATCGTCTCTATCTTCTGCAGCGAGAACGCCAGGATCTCGTCGACAGTCACCGGCGCCTCCTGGGCGTTCCAGATGCCTGTGGCGATCCTTTCCTGGCGCCCGTAGTTCATCGCCACGGACATTGTCCGGAGCAACGAGACGGACTCGGCCGCGCTGGAGCTCGCGACGAGATCCTTGCTCCGTGCGCTGATGATCGCGGAGGCCATGCCCTCGAACGCGATATGTTCGGCTGTCTTGCCGATGACGTCGTCCATGGAGATGAGCGCGGCCAGCTTCGCGCACAGTGCCTCAGACCCGCCCGCGCACAGGCGTTGAAACACCTCGGCGCCACCGCCGGGAAGCTTCTGGTCGCGGAGAAGGAACGGCTTCGACAGTTGCATGGCGAGCTTGGGGAGCTCCTTCCGCTCCACCGGGATGTCGAATGGGTTCGTGGCCGCCAGGTAGCCGCCGTCCCGGGTCTGCACGACGGGGCCAAGCCCCTTGCCGAGGTCAGAGATGTAGCACGTGGCGTCGACGCCAGGGCCGGGCTTCGCGCCGGACTTGAGAGAGGACACCTGAGGAGCCAACGACTTGGCGTTCGCGTCGTTGTCCTCTCCTTGTTCCATCAGCATCAAGAACTCTCTAGTCACTTCCTCCTCGTCGGCATCGAGCACCGCGACCTCGTCCTCCTGCCGCTCCGGCGACTTGGCGCCAGCCTCCAGCACGTCTCCGTGCATCATATTCTCGAGGGCCTTGATCTGGTTGGTGATCGCCTCGAGTTCGTTGAGGCGCCACGTGTGCGCGCTGTCGAGCACTACCTCCTTGACCACCTCATCGCCGGCAGCCGCTGAAGCATCCTCCTCCTCTTCCACCTCCCCGGTTTCTTTCTTGTCGTCAACCTCTTCTTTCGGTTCATCCTCCTTCTCTTCTTGCACCTCTACGCCCTTGTCGATGATGTCGAACTCGAACTCCGGGAACTCCGAGTCATCGGCTTTCGCGTCCTCGGGCACGCGCTCCGGCTCTTTCTCCTGCTCCTGTTTGACCTTGGCCACCACCGGGCTCGGCTCATCGAGCTTGAAATCGTCAATGCCCAGCAAGTCCGGCGATGGCGCGCCCTTGGGCGGTATCAGCGCCGGCTCCGAGCGCACAACCTTGGGGCTCGTGATGCTGAACGACGACTTGCTATGCTTCCGAGCAAACGAGGAGGAGGACGAAGAGGAGCTAGTTTTGCCTGCAAAGGCCGGTTGGCTGTACAGCCCGACGCCTCCGTCATCCATGATCTGGAACGCCAGCTTGACGACGAGCTCGCCGCCCTTGGCCTTACCGGCGAGTGGGAACGCCATGTCCCACTGCCTGACGCGCTCCCCTTGCTGGCTCCTTTCTGAGGACTCCTTCACGAGAAGGCTCAAGTCCACGGCATTCCGGCCAAAGTCGAGCTCCGGCGCCTCCACGGCCACCGCAGATACGAGGAACACCCGGGGCTCGAACTTGAGCGGCTTACCCGTGGCGCCGCCGCCGCTGCAGTAGAGGTTGCACCGGACGAAGAGCGTCTCCTCGAAGTCGGCCGCACCCTGGTGCACGCGCGACGGCATGGTCTGCACGGCGCCGTCGCGCGTCTCCTTCTTGCGCACGGCCACCGCGAGGCGCAGCCCATTCATGGACGTGGGCAGGCCCTCCGCGGCCACCACCTCCACGGAGAAGAGGCAGCCCATCCGCTGCATGCCGATGCGCGACAACGCGCGGATCGGCTTCCATCCCCGAATGCCCTTCTTCTCCCCGGCCACGGTCGGCGATGTTGTCACCGCGGCGAAGCTCTGGCTCTTGGACGGCCGCGCCGCGCCGACGTCGTCATCGTCGTCGTCGTCATCATCGGCGTTCAAGTTCTTGTCGAGCTTAGGCCTCGACCGGAACGGCGACATGGACAGGCGGCGGGGGAGCGGGCGAGCCGCGGCGCGGACAGCGTCAGCGCCGCCTGCATTGTCGTCGCCGGCCGAGCGAGGGAGCGCGAGCGAGGCGGTGCGGCGCTTGTTGTGCGCCTGGTAGAGCGTGTGGCTGAGTGCGTCGAGCTCACTGAGGATTTGGTCATTGGACTTGCCGTCGTCGGCCATGGCGATGCACCAGCGCTCGACCTCACTGGCAGATGGTAGCTTGCTAAGTTCGTCAAGCCAAGAAGCAAGTAGAGTCTGTCGAGTGGATAAGTGAGGGAGTGGAGGAGACGGTGAAGTGTATGGCGGGATGAGAGGGAGGACGTTGACGGCGCCATGGTTGGTGACGGTTTTGGAAGGATTTGGAAGGAGCGGATGGAGGAGAAGAGGCGGGCAAACTTGTGGTGTTCATGTGGCCGTTGGTTTGGCGCCAAATTGATGCCGATATATATGCTGGATGAATAGTTCGATTCCTTGTGCTGTGAATGACACATCGGGCACACACAAGTTTTACAAGATAATGTGTGGATGATATGTGGCAGTCCACGTGGCACGCTGGATTAACAGACGTGATCGCGAATCTACTTGTGAGAAACTCGTCAGCAGGACCTGACAATCGTGCCATCCACACAATCCACTTATAAGTCATCAGATTTGAAAAATGGAAATGGGCGTACTACTACTACAGTCAACGTCATAGATCATACTACGCTCTTGCCTTTTTTATCCAGGGAAGTGTAGGCGCTACGCTCAATACGTTGGCAGCTTCGAAACAGAACAAAAAACGGGCTCAAAAAAAACTGAAGAAGTGGCAACTGAAAACGTGTTATTCTAGCGCCAACTTAAAAGCATCTCAAAAAATCTTTCTAAAGCTCACTCTCTAAATTATCATTTAGAGAGTCATTTGCATAAAAATCGTTTTCTATATCTTTCCACTCTTCAACAGTTTTCCATTCTCGTTTTATCTCTTTGACTAGTGAGATATTTAGAATAGAAGAGGAGTATATTTGGATAACCGAATAAAGAAGTTGTTGGAAGATTTTTTTTTTCATCAAAATCTCTATTCCTATTAATCAGGAAGGATATAAAAAGTCTCTTGGAGGTTGCTCTAAGGTCTCACAATTTAGATTAAACATCACACTCATTATTGACTTGAATTATCGCACATAAAGGACATGTGTTTTTATTGTTTATTACGCCACAATATAGATTAACCATCACACACATTATATGAAAACACTAGTTCAAATGAACATATATAAGGTTGATACATACCCACAAAATGAAACTATTACAGCCCATGTGCCAGCTATTGCTTGGAATTATCCTGCTCTTCCTGGCTGCCTTCGCTGCTCGTCCCTGCAAACCCCCGTCTCTCATCGGCAGACGCTGTTATGACCGGCATCCAGATATCAGATGTGCTGCTCAGGAGAGACTTCACCTCTGGATCTGAGGCCATGGCAGATGATATCATCTTGTCGACGTTATCAAGCCTCGATGATAGCTTGTCCAGCTCTGCAGCTATTTCTAGCTAAAGAAGGCCAAATGGGAGCCGATAAGACAATTGATAATGGTGCATGGTGAAGAGAAAAATTAAACATGATAAGAGCATCTGCATTTTACCTCACTGAGCTGCTTAGGCGCCTGCTCTGGTACCTTGGTGACTTCTAATCCTAATGCTTCGATCTTAGCACGCAACTCTACTTCTTCCTGATTGCTCATTGACTCCACCTACATTTAAAAAAAATGCCCATTGTTCAATAATCAACCAACAGATATAAGTTTTTCTGTCTTCTGCTACCATAAGTCAGAAATATGAAACAGAAAAGAATAGTTTCCAACTGAACAGACCAGGATTCAGTTTGAAAGACAATGAATGAAAAAGAAAAACAAATCCGAAATGTCCGTGGTAGCAAAATAGCACAATATGGCAACCACTATACCAGAGTATTGCTCTTTATGTATTATGCAAATGAATGCAAGCACAATACAGAACAAACAAAAAACCACCCAATATCATAGAATAAAGATGATGCTAATATGTAAAGGGTCCAGTTCAGCATTTCTCACAAGTTTCAACAGACATTTCAGATAGCCAAGGGTTCAATTCTCTGCCTTGTGTATGGTGCCAATATGGGTGGGACTTTCCTAAGACCAGCTTCCAATACAAAATAGTTCTCTCTAAGGTGTGAATGGACAGTAAGTGGCAAAGTGTTTCCGCTGGCTCCAACAATGTTTGCATTTTTTCCCTTTTTAAAAATAGGATCAGAGTTATGCTCCTTGTTGAGTGAACTGGCAAAACTAAATGGCAGATGTCCCTAGTTGTTTTCATCCAGACTGGCTTCAGACAAACTGACAAGATGAACTAAGCTGGCTCTACCTTGCCGTTGACGGAAGCAAGGGAAACAGCACAGGTATGATTCTGATTATCCCTATTTTGTCTTGTCACAAGTTACGACACAAACAAAATTATTATGTTTGTCCCTGTTTTTGTCTTGTCACGGCACAAGCAACATGCACACATTATTTTGAAAGGCTGATAGGAAAAGATGATTGTTTAGGAACTACAAGGAGTTAGGAACCGAAAGGAATTAGTGTCCATCAGATAACCGGCGCCATGAACCGAATTACACGCAGGAAATCCAGCAGTAACCAGATGAGCATGCCATTAACAGATTCATGCTAGAATGCCCCTTGAGCTATGCATTAGAGGCAGTACCTACCGCCACGACTAATTAGGTTTATTCAAGGGCCTGAGACGACGATACGAGATACACGTGACTCCAATGTACGAGACTAATTTGAATGCAAAAGTTATCGATGATACTACCAGTACTTTGATGTCCTAATCGGGATCCACGAAACAAAAACTATGGAACAACGAAACGCAGCAACGCTCCGAGTCGGCGAAATTAGTGCGCCCGCGCGGCAATTCTCCCTAAATCGGCGGTCATGGAAGAACTGAGTCGATTGGCAGATTGGAACCGCGGAGGCACAGCTGCGTACCTGCTGGAGAAGGTCGCTGAGGAGCTGGAACAGCGGCAGGTCCGGCTTGGACCCCTCCGCCATCGAGACTCGCCTGTTTCTGTGCTCGAAACCTTGGATTCCTCGGAGGAATTCGCGCTCTGCTCTTGCCCTTCTGGTTCCTCCCCCGTCCGGCCGCTCCGCTCGCTGGTGTTGCCGTGCGCCGGTTGGGGATTTGCCGGGGCTGGATTGGCAGGGAGCTGCTGGTGGCACCCGGGACTCAGATTGGGTAACGTTCCTTCGGCAAGTCACAGCGTAACGTGCGGCCTTATATCCAGCGTTGAAACATCATCCAACGGCTGTCAGCTTTCTCCCATAGGATACTTTAGCTTTCCTCCGTGAAGTTAGGCGGCGCGCTGGTTTTCGTCGGGCTGCATCAACCCGCGCCCGTGCTCGTCGTCTGAAGGAGCCAAGCAGTCCTGCGTCGCCGCCCATCGTCCAGAGGGGCCGAGCCGTCGAGCTGCACAAGACGACGCCGGTCAGAAGCGTCGCCGCCGGCCCGAGCCAAGCAGCCCTGCGCCGCCGCCCATCGTCTGGAGTGCACAAACCGACGCCGGGACGCTGTTCAGAAACGTCGCCGCAGCCCAGGACACCATCGAGGAGCTCCACGAGGACAAGTATCAGACCTCTTCTCTGTCACATTTTTGGATGTGCATATGTGATTTGCAATATTAAAAATGAATCTGCAAAATACAAACTTCAGAGCGTACTGGTTTGTGAGTAGCTCAGTAGTTTAGTTTTTTCAGATCGGTCAGCAATTCAGTTCAGATAGTTCAGTTCAGATAGTTCACTAGTTCACCACTTGAAGTTCAGATATGCTAACCTATTTATTGCTTTAGAATTGATATGTTTCATCTATATGTTATTTATTGTTTACAGCACAAGCATTGTGAAAGGCAAATCTGGTTTATATGAAAGACAATGGACTAACTTGACAAGGGAAAATCTCAAGTTGGTTTGAGATTTAAAAATTCATATGAGGCTTGGTAGTTTTGGGTGGCATGTTACAAACCTATAACCTGTACATTTATACATGCTTTTGTCAATCTAAGGCTCTGTTCGGTAAGACTTATTGCTGTTGCGGCTGATTTGTAAAGCTGATTTGTTGTGAGAGAAAAATATTGTTCCATGACTAAAAAAGTAGGACTGAATCTGGCTTATAAGCTCAAGCGAATAGAGCCTAAATTAATCGTTTTAATTTCATCGCCAGCGACAAAAGAAAAATGCTCTTGTTCAGCCCCAAGTCCAATCGGAGAATGACGGCAGCAACAAAGAAGCAATTTCGCAGTCTCAAGAATACAATGCCATTAGTAGTTTTACTCAACTCATAACAGCTACAACTTGTGTCGATGATAACCTTCAGTTCGAAGTATGTATAGGCTAGTTAGATAGTATTTTGGATAGGACTAACTATAGTATTTTGTGGCATAAATGTAATATTTTACGGCCTTACTATAGTCTTTTGTGGCCTGAATATACATGTCAAATGCTTCAGAAGTACCAAATATTATTGGAACACAACACAAATTTAAAGTGTGCTTATCTCTTTACCAATCGTGTGCTTGCTAAAATGTTCTGTTTGTGTGCAAATGTGATGTATTTCCAGAGCCAAAATGGCTTTGTTTCTGTGCAAATCTGTGCAAATCTGATGATGCAAAGTGGTGTTCTCCATTATAGAGGGAATATGTCAACACATAAAGAAAACATCAATATGCTGCAAATCTGCTGCAGTTCAGGTTTCAATTTTCACAAGTTTTATCAATGCAATACCTCAAGATGGGCCTCTTAATTTCATTGTACAAATATGAAGAGTCTGACGTGGTTATAATAAGTAATTTCTTATCTAATTACATGAACCATGGAGTCAAGCAATGGATCTTTAAATCTAGTCCCTGCAGAGAGCCCCTCCACAGCGCCGGGATGCCTCTTGGACATCAATGTCGACTACTATCTCCATCACAGTAGCGCGGAGCTCTGTCTCCTCTAGGACGGCGTGGTGCTAGAGAGTTCCTCCGTTGTGCCTCGGTGCGGGTCTTCCTCAGCTCGACTTCTGTGCTCTCCGGGGAAGCGCAAATGCCGGCGTGGCGCGGGAAGGCTGGTGTGGCAGAACCTCCTAAGAAATCAGGCCCACGTGCACCTATCAATGTCTCAACAGACCTCTGATAGCGTACACAAGTTCCCAACAACTTAACATGTCTGTCAGGTGTCATCGGAAAACCCGAATCATCCACGAATCTTTTTCAAACAGGATCCCAATCACAAACATTGCAGATTACAACAGTTTTTGATATACATACCAGAGATTGTAAAGCGGAAGACTTAAGTTTTAATATTACAAACCAGTTGTTTCAAACTTACAAAACCATAAGTGTCATACAACCATAGTTGTGGGATAATATTACATTAACATTATTTATTTCACACAAACTAGTGCCTTGTCCAAAGGCCATTCATCACTCCTCATCGTCATCGACTTCAAACACTGACATGCAGCAGGGACCAAAACAAGCCTGCGCATACGACTCACCTGCAACAGGGGTTAACAAACCCTGAGTACAAAAGTACTCAACAAGACTGACCCGACGAAAAAGGGGCGAAGATCTTAGGGATGCAGGTATTGGGTCAAGGTAAGGATGTAGCAAGATTCAAAAATTCTTTACCAAAAGCTTTCTATTCTTGATCCTATTTTCAAGTTTTACCCCTAACTACTTTAGTTCATTATCTCAAACTAAGTGTTCATATCCCATATTCCAATCCTTCTCATTCCATTCTTTTTCTCATGTTTTAGTAATTCACCAGTCCTGCATTGCTTCTGTAATAAATCGAGTCTCCATATCCGCGGAGCACCGGCAATTCGAATTGATTCAAGTCCCAGCTGGGGATTCCTTATCACACGACATATGTAGAACTTAATCTTGCATATATCAACCTCACTACCGAATCCTCCTATACTAAGCCGTCTCCACGCCACCCGAGAGCACAGCACACCTCAAATCCGACCCCATTTCAGCCACGAGGGTACATGCTACTCCCGCCATCTCTCCACTCCCAGTGCGTGGGCATTCGTCTTAGTATCGGATTAGCCGAAGTAGGCTTACCGGAGTATGTGACCAATACTACAAAGTGTCTCGTTCAGAAGATCCACAATGAGTGGCCTTTAAGCAACATAGTCGACAACATTACCCAACATTCAAGATAAGTCACCCGACTAGTCTCTAGTTTATTCTATCTTCTTTCTTTCTTTGGCCAGTATGCCATCTTTGATTGTATCGAAACTTTTACTTTGAAAGCCTACCATAAAGCATACTAAGCAATTCTATGCTTTTGTAAATGAAATCATCTTCAAGGATGGTAAACAATTAACAAGGTAGGCAATGCATCAAGTAGGTAACATTTGAATTAATCAACTTAATACAATAAGTAACATAGGTGATAAACTTTTTCAAAGTAAACAAGGTAATGGTTTAATGCATAAACCGGGGCTTGCCTTCGTTGACGATCTCAGGTTCCGGATCAGTACCACAAATATCGAATTCCGAGACAACCAGGGATTCTTCCACAACTTGCTCAACTAAAATCGGTTCACTCTCGGATTCTACACGAAATAATAACATATGCTTCAACATGATGATAATATAAACATGATGCTTCCATGGTGCATGAAATATAATAACAACTTGAATACAACTTTCTTTCGCGGTACAGTTGCAAGCCAACAAAACCAACTTGCAATTCTACCATCAAGGACCACACAAGTGACTTGACCAAATTAATCTTGAAACCCTACTGGTCACAAAACATGATCAAATCAAGATCAAATCCTAACCCAACACTTAGGGTTTGCTTTTATTCATTTTTGAATTAATTGGGAATTAAGCTCAAAATGAACTTGTCCCAAATGACCTCAAAATTTTATGTAAGATTCCTCATGACAAATTAGTGTACCAAAATAAATTTCATAATTTTTGGATCTATACAGTGACCTACAAAAATTATGTAAATTGCATTTATCAATTAATTGACTGAATTTTTGAACATTAAAAATTTATTCAAATTTCAAGTTTCATATTTTTACTAAATAATATTCATCACAGAGAGGTCACACAAAAATTTTCATAATTTTTTGAGCTCTAAACAAATCTACACAAAAATAACAAAAACAGACACTATTCATCCATTTCTGAAAATAGAAAAATTCCATTTGAACTACACGGTCGCTGACATACGGGACTCACTTGTCATCCCTAAGCTTCAGCTTTGACAGCGACGACGACGGCGCTGACCGACGCAAACTCGTCGCCGGTGAGCCCAACGGCGACGGCCAAAGCACCAAAACGTTCACAATGACTAGGCGCATCGATCTGTAGCACTACAGAGGTTAATGACAACACGAACCACGGCTGACACCGGCCATGGTGGATGTGGCAGCACGGCAATGCTACGCCGGTGGGACAAGGTCGGTAACGGTGCAACAAAAAGTCCAGGAAACATTAGTAGCTCACCCCGAACATGTTGAAGCAACGAAGCGAGACCGGAGAAGCTACGGTGACACGGTTCGACGGTGACAGTGATCACGGCGGAGCAGACTTCGTCGACAATGGGGTTCCGGCGACTGCAGTGGGCAAAACGACCAAGCAAGAATAGATTAAGCACCACCGCATCTAGACGAAGCTGTAGAGTCAACAAGGGCAACGGCTCACCGGATGACGCTGGCCGTAGTGAAACGGAGCTTTGGGTGAGGTCGCCGGCCGTGAGGAAGAAGAGTCACTAGCGGCGGTTCTCGGTGGACTCAGACAATCACAGTTGGTGGAATGGGTTCGCAAGGAGGAGACGGAGCTGAAACACTACTTTGCCGAGACTGGCTTGCGCTGCGGAGTCGAGGGGAGCTCGACGGAGCTGAGGCGGCGGCGACGGGAAACAGAGGAGAGAAAGGAAAGTCGACGACGGCGTCGGAGCTTTATAGCACGGCTAAGAGAGCGAGGGAACGACACATAGCGACCAACTCGTGCCAGCGCGAAGCCGAGGGCCGCCACAGGCACGCCTGG